TTACGCTACTCTGATGATGGAAACGAGGAAGTTTCCGAAACGTCAGTTCGGATACAATATGGTCCATGGATTCGCCCTCTCTTCTTCTTCGTCTTCTTCGGGAGATGATGAACGCGATATATATATATATATATATATATATCGTCTGGCCTGTTGCACTCTTAGCGAGCTGCTCATGTATTATATATATATATATATCGATAAATAGATATCTAATAGATATATACTCGATATAGTTTGCTACTAGGACGTGTCGAATGCGCAAACACAATTTGTTGAGGCACATAGAGTTTATCTTTCCAGATAAATGAGTTGAAGATACAATACAATCACGAAAACGCTCAAGGAGAGAATTTTTATATATTTTCATTCATATGTCCTAAAAGGATTAGTTCAGCATGAAATATGTCCGAGAATTAACTATCTAATTCTTGAAAATTCGGACCATTGTAGCGTTAAAACAATGAGAGTGTACTCACCTCGCCAAAATAATCACGACCCAGTCCCATTTGAGAGAAGAAGGGAAAAGACAGCAGTAGGAATAGTGTATCCTGTCTAGAAGACTGGTGGCTGTAAGAGCCCCCTAGCGGGGTTCCATCGGCTAACCCGCGCAGATCCGTGCCCCACTCACTGCCAACCCCGACAGTTGATTGTGTGATAGTGGAGTTTGAGGACGCCTGTGAATGTCCACGGGGCTGAATGTCCTCAGGTTCTGGCTCTCGGGAGTCGTGATCATGTGACTCTTAGTGCGGTGTGGGTGTCAGAGGCAGGAGATCAATGTCGTTTGAGGCGCTACACCACAGTAGCCTACTGTGAATTCCGCACATTTTTTTCTTTTTTTACATTGTTCAAGGCTCAGGAGGGAGCAGCTTGTCTACATGGCCACTAAAGTATCGGGGGCAAAGGACTTCATAAGGTCACGTAATGATTGACTGGCCGGCGGGCAAGAATTTGAAATAAACCTGAAAGGCACAGTTGTAAGCACACAGTCCTGTGTTGTAGTTGCGTTCACCGATGGGGTTGCGGGAACTGCTCATACCGTCGTGCTTTGAAGCTGAATACAGAGCACGATGGTATAGGGGGTTACCGATCGTTCATATGGAACTCACTCGTTCCGTTGTGCCTTACGGACTCTCTCTCGAGCCTGACCAGCAGTTGCACAGCGGCGCATGATATAGGCAGACTGGTATTGTCAACAAAAACAAGGGAGACTGAAATGGCCATTTCTTGCTTATTAGCCGTCGTCAGCCAGTCATACCCAACCCCGAAGTGTGCAACACCCGAGGCCCGAACTCAGGACCTGTTATTTAGAAGTCCATGCCTCTAACCACTAGGCCACGAGCCCGTTGCCCTCTCGGTTTGGTCGGGAATATACATTGGAAGGGGGGCTCGCCGAACGTTCTTACGGAACTCCCTCGTTCTGGGGTGTCTTGCGGGCTCTCTCTTGAGCCTAACCAGTAGCCGCACAACGGCGCATGATATAGGCATATGAACAGACCACACCAGAGCATTCGCTTAGCGCCCATGGGTATATGCTGAAATGAGTACCGGAAAGGACGGTCGAGGTTGGGATTTCCGTTTTCGAGTTATTAGCCGTCATCGGCCATACAAACCTAGCTCAGGTTTGGAGCACCTGGGGTTCAAACCCGGGTCTCTGACCACAGCGACCGAGCCCCAGGCTCGTTTCCCTGTCGGTTGCGATCTGGAATATCAATTTGCGTTCACCGATCAGATTATGTGATATGCCCGTCCCAGCGCCCCGAAGCTGGTGATGGGCATGGCTGACTTATAACGACTAGTATGCTAGAAATGGCCATCCCAACCTGCCAGCGTTGGGTGTGACCGGCCCATGATGACTAATAAACCGTAAATTCATCCATGTCGCTGTCAGTACACCTCTCAGCATACATTTTTCTGCGTATCATGGAAAATTGGCTTCCCTAAAATTACTGTATGGATTTTGGCGACGGTAGAATTTGCTGCTTTTCAATATGTAAATGATTGCTCGAAAAAACGATAGAAAAATGAGTCAAATGTGCGGCCTTTTCAGTGCCACGACATGATCAGCTGGATTTCGGTCAGCACGTATGCTGAGTTACATTGCGTGCTGTACTTTCTGACAGACTCTAAAATTGACCTTCGTTGTTTCAACAAAACGTCTTTGACATCATACTGAATTCTATAATTTGGATAAGAGCAGCCCTAAATTACGATAGCAATACGTTTGGGCATGTACTGGACAGTAGGAGTGGATGAAGACGACAAATGTTTTTCCACGGGGAGTTTGTTCGCGGACCCTCACTTCTCATTTTGTGCGTTTGAAACAGCCTCGTTAGACTAGACTGTAGTAATACCAACTTCGCTAATGCCTTTAAGTTCTGGCAAGTCATTGAAAGTCGAGATAGTGATTGAAAACATTATAAACCACTTTCAGGACTGACTTCAGCAATGCCAACTTGTTTCACTATTTTGCATTTATGCACACCAACCGTTACTCCGCGAACAGCTTGGGATTTTTACACCAAAAAGGCAAATAAATGCCTATAATGTGTACACAGGAGCATCTTGATTTTTGTAACTAGGCAAATTTGAAATCCTCGATCCAATGTGCTAACATTGCAAAAAACACCACGAGGCATTACATGACACAAGCGGAGGTTTCTGGCATTCGATGGAGACTTTTTAGCAAAGACGCGGTCAGTTACTTCCTTCTCATTAATAATATGGCATTTTTGCGCTGTGACCGAAACTAGGAGTGAAGACAAAATAACTTGAGAGTGTTAAACGCCACGCGGCATATCTATCGATTTTTTAAAAATTTAACGGCACCCAAAACCATTTAGGGGTCATAATCTACTGGTTTTGCACTATAAACAGAAAACAGACAAAGTTATACTGGTTTTAAGATAATATGATAATCGATTTGCATGTCGGGTCTCGATTTTCGCGACTGCAGTCTGTCACGGGTTTCATACGCCAGCATACCTAACCATATTTCGATAATTGTTTGTTTTTACGCGGATTTATCCTGAAAGTGGGTTTTTTTACTTCCGTTACGGGTTTTCCCAATTGGTTTGATCAGCCGATATTATAAACGGGACAGTACTGTCAATATTCTTGTCAAAATATGTTCTGTTGCGATGCGTTTGAATTGCTGTTTGTATTTAATTAAGAGACTCCATCCTATACGATACGCATATCTGGGCAAAATAAATGAACAGTGTGTTGACGTACCCAATTTCAACGAAATTACCCAATATCTAGGGGAATAGAAAGAGTTTACACCGCGTAAATGTGTGGGAAATGTTTATGAATCTGTAGGAATGTTAATAAGGGCCAGGAATATATTCAAGTAAGCGGATTTTAACTTTTCACGGGCTCCGGAGTGCAACGCCTCGATCGAGGGAGGATCGTTGCACACGGTCCCAAACAGGCACTACGTTTTGCTGGAACGTTTCAGTAGGACTCCGCTTTTCCTTTTCATGGGAGCGCATTGAAGATCTGCATGAACATATTTAAGTGAGGTCTAGAGGTGGCTTCCTTACATTATGTTTCACAGACTTATGATATGGTCTCCTCGAAACGCTTGTCAGGGAGACCTGGATCCAACTCTTTAGGACGCACTTCGACGCTTGCAAGCGTCCGTCTATTCTCTATACATACTGAACCATAAGCGGAGAAAAAACTAGATACAAACTTCTCTCAACTTTACTGAAAAAATGACGTGACTTGAACAATGCAATATCGGGCCTCAAATACGCTGGTATGTAGAAAATATAAATTTTTAACGTAATGCGCATCAACCCTTAATGCATATTGACGGGTCTGCTACAAAATTATATGCATAATTCCGCCGTCATAATAAACCACCATGTACGTATGTGCATGCGTGTATTGAAGTTTTGTTCACGACTATTTGGAACGATAGTTTATTGCCAGTTTTAGTCTGGTTTTTACTGATCTGTTTTCATCTCTACTCGCTTTCGCCCTCTGTGTACGCTTATGCTGATTCTGTAAACCTTACTTATGCGCGTGTTTTAATCCCCATTTCCAGATTCTAATGCGTTTCCCAGCCCTTCCGACGTCTTAGGTACACGCGTTTTCGCCCCACCATTTATTCTACTGCACCTGTTGCACTTCGAATTATTCCTTTACAACTCCCTTTTGAGTTGTCTAAGGAGCATTATGAACAGTACTTTTGGCCCTGGTACACGTTCATATTAAGGAAGAAATGCATCAGAATTGAACACATTTAAATGTGCAGCATTCTTCAAGTCTTTCCTTCATATTACAACTTACCTAAGGAGTGTGTGAGAGAATTCATTGCACATACTTTGAGCTATCACCTTCTTGCATTGAAGACCGTAAGCGGCCCAATTAATCCAAAATTGTCTCCTGTTATGACTCCGAAATTTGTCCTGACCACTCTTTCCCCCTGGCTTCACTTTTCATATAAGACTTATATTAATATAAAAGATCGGTATTTAGCAGTCTAATAGGTGAACGTGGGTCGTGCATCCACGTGGTGGCTGTAAATGTCAGAAGGCTGTAATTGGATGTTTTACTTAATATTGTGATTAGATCTTTAAATGTGTCGAATTCTTGGCGTGATATCGAAGTCGGTTGCTTATTGAGTTTGCTGACCTGCCTGGGAGGTTCGTAGGGAGGATGTCGAACCTGACTATTTGCAACAACGCACGTGATGGCAAATTTAACGAGGTCGTAGATGCCTTTCGTAAGGACCCGTCAGTAATCGCTTCTAAGGATTCTGTACGTTTACGAATTATTGCTTTAACTTGCGTAATTACAAAATCGTTGGAATATATTCCTTGTATTCCTATATCAAATGCGTCGCGACTTCTGTTTCTGTTTACTTTACCTTATTATCCTTTCGATTTTATGATAAGTTCTCAGTTGCGCTTGATTAAGAGTCTTCTATAGTAAGACTGGTTATCAGAACATTTTCGGTCGTTGAATTTTGGCCTGGCTCTGTTATTTCGGCTGGCCCTAAGAATGCCGTAGAAGCATTAAAGCGTTCCACCTATTCCTATCGTAGTTGTCTAGTTCGGAAACCCCCTGGTGGTAAGCCGCTGTAGATATCTGACTGAATGTGGTGTTTACTCTTGTCGGAGATTGCGAACGATTAATCATGTTTTTCGGCCTCTGTCAGTTTAATTTTCTTAAGAGTCCCTTGTATTGACGACTGTAGGGCAACCTCGCCGCAAGCACTTTGCTTATAACTCCCTGTCCACCAATTTATTTCCTGCTCTTACATGCTCTATACAAGCCCTTTCTAACTACACAATGCTTCCCGCCGGTGATTATTTATCCGTGATCCGACAAGTTGACCAGTCTCATTTTTTTTAAAGTACTCGTCCATATTCTCTGTTCAGGGGCAATTTATATGTTCTTGGGAACGACATTAAGCTGGCAGATTATTATCATTAAACTTTTCTCGATGCTTTCTCGTTGTTATCTGCTGAGTTTAATGCAGATTTTTTCACTAGTCATTCATTTTGCCTTTCACAAAATTTTCAGTGTGGGCGTAATGTCCTTCACTGGAGTGCCTCTGGTGGACATCTGGAGCTTGTGAAGTACCTCATCGAGGCCGGAACGAAGGGTGACGAAGCTGATGAGGTACCTTCGCCTACTTCCGTTTGCAAGTAGAGTGGTTGGCGTCTTGCCTGCCCAGTGACTCAGAACTCATGCTTCACGTCCTTAAAGCGGATTTTTTGACCGTCATATCTCCCATTTATTGAGATTTTTCGTTTTGCCCTCAGTGCTGCTATTTTCTCAGTCAGGCTGGACGCCCCTGATGATTGCTGTGTCTGCTGGTCGAGACGACGTCGCGGAGTACCTCCTTAAATTTTGTTCTGCAGATCCAAATGCCATAAACTCCACTGGCCAGTCGCCCTTGCATTACGCGGCATCAAAGAATCGTCTAAACGTTAGTACTGTTGTCTGAGTGTGGTTTATAGCTTATCTTCCACTTATCTATGATTACCGTTCCTTCTACTTCACATACTTTTCACTTCTTTCGGTTCACTTCCCCAGTTGCTCGGATTTCCTTCACCTTATAGAAGTATAGTAAGTAAAATTGGCTACTTTTGATGCCTTTTGTTCTTACCGACCTTAGTTAGCAAAGCAACTCTTGGCAGCTGGTGCTCAAGTGGATCTGAGAGACTGGGGCGGTAACACGCCGTTGCACCGTGCCGTTTCCCAAGGCCACACGGATATGGTGAAATTGCTGCTTTTTGGTGACGCGTCACATTCCGACCTACAAACATCAAGTGGCGTCGTGAAATCTCCCAAAGCCTCTCCGAATATCCCAAATACGGCCGGCCAGACTCCTTTGTAAGACGCTATTGCCCCTTCTTTCTTGCCTGCCCTAGCTAGCGTGTATCTTTTGTCGTTGGTTAATATGGTATCCCAACTTCTCTTCAGACATTTCGCTTGTGAGGATGGGAACGCCTCTGTTGTACGCCTATTACTACAGGTTGGCGGAGACCTGTCGGCTAAAGACAAGGTGAGAAGTACTCTCGAATTACACATTCAAGTTCTTTTTCTACCGTTGGTTATGTTTCAGAAAGCCAGAAGCAAAATTTTGTCCTCTTTTCGTTGCATTAAAGTTCATCTACTTAACTGCCAATAGGTTGTTTTAATCACGGAAACAAATTTATCCCTGGCATCTTTGTTTACGAGAACTCTACTTGCCTCGAAATATATGTTCACTTTTCCCACTGATATCTGCTTGCTTCAGGATGGGAAAACTCCAATTGAACTGGCACCCGATCATCTTCGCGTTTCAATCCCCAATGAGCTTGGTCTTGTTCGCTAAGGCGTCTACATTCTGAATCAATATATTTTTGTACTACCGCATTTTTCTTTATTCTTGCCGTGACTATCTCATGTGGTTAACGATGCTTGTATGAGGGAGCTATGTCAACGGTGTCCTCTGGTTCAATAGCACCAACCTACCAGTCCTATATTGTCAGTTGATGAAGGTTACACTTATTCACAGGGCGTCAGGATATGCCGAACCGATGGCGGCAAAATAAGTCAAATGACGCCTTTCCAGTCTGCGCTTCCATAGTTTTATGCCATTTCTGAGTAATCGGCAAGTTTTCTACGATGACATATTTCGAGACCGGCCATCTAGCTTAACAATCTTGCCGGAACACCAGTCACCGTATCACTGTTAACCCTTCTGATGTTTCCGATTTCAACCTGTGCTGATGCGGGTTACGAATTCCTCGCTTCCTTTGAGGGTATTGTTTTAATATCAGAGTAGTAATCATTGACTTGATTTCGGGTCCTCATTTGTACGATTCTTGAATGCTGAGCTTGAAGGCACAGTTCTCTACTGCCGAAAACTCACACTCGTCCCCGGATGGTCTGCTTACTCATTTGTCCTGCCCATTCGTCTGAACGCCGAATCCACCTTTTAACGAACTGAAGGGTTTGTGGGAATGCATGTCTTGGTTGTCATACATCTACACCGTCCCTTCTCTGTGGTCCCTCATCTTTTTTTCAGTAGGAGGGTGAAGGCGAGGACCACGGTAAGACTCTTAGTGGTAATATTATGCATTCTCGAGCAGGGAGCCGATTTTGTTTGTGCCATATCTTGGCTGGATTCAACAATCGAAAACCGTCGTCAATGAATACAGGGGGAATTAACATGACAATTTCTGTCTCTAACCAGCCGTAGCCCGGCAAGATCAGAGATTTCATCTGGTTACTGTCTACGTCCACTAGCATTATCTGTCCGGGCCAAAGTTAGATGAAACTGTCCTACCTCCTATAACTCGTTTTGCTCGAAATATAGACGAGTCTTGGGGTGCGGGTGCATTCATGAAACAGCGGGTTCAGAAACGTTGGTAACAATAGCAGTAGGATTGTCGTCAAACCTCTGACCGGCGTACGTACTAGGGGATTGGATGACGCAAATGAAGTGTGGTTACTTTCAAACAAATAAGTAGGACTTTTTGAGGAGTAAAACTGCGGAGCGCTTTGATCTGAAGACCGAGGGGTTTCCTGTGTCAAGGGCCTGGCCCCACCGGCGCTTCTACCGTTGATACTGCTCATGCGCGGTTTGGACTGAAAAAATTGGAGGCACTGGCGACAAATGAGAAGAAAAGGTTGTAAGGTGGTTGCACTCACACACCACCGAGCGAAAAGTGCTCTCTGCGGATACCTAAAACGACGAGAAGGACGCACATAAGATTGCGGAGTAAATGAAACACAGCCTGTCAGACAGGGACAATAGAAGAAGCATAGAACGTACATTACAGCCAGATTTGGCCCAGGCAGCGCTGCCGTCAGCGAGGTGGGCGCAAGAGGAGAGGAAGGATCTTATTTGCACGGTAACGTTGATTTGATCCTGGTATGGATAAGGTTGTGGGGGTGGGTGACTGTAGGAATAGCGGTTCTTCTCGTCAGTCCTCAGCTGCCGATAGCCCACATAGAAGGTGTTCAACTGGCGGGCAGTCAGCAGTTGTCCCTGAGATATCTCTCTTGCCTCCCTTTTGCCCTCCGTCAGCTGAGCATTACTCAGGAAGAAGGTGTAGTTACGTTCCAACTCTTCAGACCCCTCATTGAGGTCCATCCCTGGCAAATGTAGAAGTCATAGCATGTCACCTTTCAGTTATGTCATATGTATTTCATGACCTAAAGTCGGCTTCTCTGACTCGAAATAACACACTTGTGAGAGAAAGGCAGTTGTGGAGCACTCACCACAGACGGCAGTGTTTGGTGGGACAACAGCCCAGACGGACCGGCCATACCCGTCGTCAACAGCGGTCAGGTCCGGTGGATGAATGTGCCTTGTACGGAGAAAGCAGTGTTATGCATTAGCAAAAACTACCGGCCAGGAAGTGCTAACATTCTAGAACCGGTAGTAAACCACGTCCTGACTATCCACCCTGCCTAAAGACGAGTTTTGTACTTCTGCGGCTCAGTGTATTTGCTATTGGAACTGTTGCTGGGATAGTCGAAGCTCCCATCTAGCTATCCTCATCGGTAGGTTCCATCCAAGTGATTGAAGGAACCAGAACAATGCGTCATTTTTGCCTCCAGACAGGGATTAAATCTCTTGTCTCTTGCTTAGCAGCGGGTGCCATTATGCAGTTGTCTGGAGATTCTGATAGTGCCGTGAATCCAACTGTGTCTACCGAAGCGCCGCTCTGAAATGCGTGTTCCCGCTTCATCAAGAGCGTCCGGATTTGTGATTCGACCCTGCCACGTTATTCTCAGGACTGGTTGAGGCAAGTGTTTAACAAGCTGAAATGTACGCTAAGACGCGTGCTTAACCCCCGCATAATATGACTATTAAGGGTTTGGGTTCTTTAGCCCCCCTCCAGCACAGCACTCAATTTAAATATTCACAGATAACTGAGGCCGAATCGGACAAGTCAAGATAGTAGCACATACCAGAAACTATCATATGCGATATAGCTGCCAAGGCACTGACTAATCGTCCGTCTTTTGTAGTGTTTGTCTCGATGGAGCTAGAACGCAGACTAGAAGCAGCTTCCGGGGCAATGCGCTGTCATCCCCACAGAATGGTTTCGAGAAAAGTGTCTCAGCTGTCTTTGACAACACAGTCAGTCCATAAGAATCTGTAATGAGGCCTTACTGGGTGGGGCAGCGACGGACCTAGTTAACACCAGTAGTCTTTTTGAAATCACTCACAGGCTTATCCACAGACAGGATCCTTTGTCCACTCGTAACAACGTTCTAGGTTGGAAACCGGGCACGCATACGAGGCCTGCGGTCGAATTCTGCTGGAGGCGAGAGATATATGGCAGCCCGTTTACCCATACAGCCTTCCGTCCGTTTAACACGCCTGTCAACCATTGGTTGCGCGCATGTGACTCAGTCTTCGGCACGCTGACGCAGTGACGGCCATGGATATTTTCTGTCTTCATTGATTGGCCGTGACCTTACAAAGCCCACGCGCAGGCACTCACATTTCGAGGCCTCCGCCGTCTGAGCCGCGTGTACGTTCTCTGTTCACAGTAAATTTCCTCCAGGCAAATCAGGCATCCCTGACTTTTGATTTGGAGAACCTCGGGTCGGGAACCATTACGCTTTGACGGTTTTCCCTCCCCCTACCATAACGCAGAAGGTTGGAGTTCGTTTTTTTTCCACTCAGAATCTTTTTGGGATTTATTGTTAGCTCATGGTCTTCTGCAAATAATTCAAGGAGTCATTACCTGGTTACCTGCGGCAAGCTTCACACCGGCAAATTGGATGTCGACGCCTAAACCTCTGAGAGCGGACCTATTGGCACAATCTTTGCAGAAAGGGATTCGGACTGCAGGACTAAACACATGTAGTATCACATAACGAGACAACAGCAGACGTAGACTTTGAAAAATTCTCCTCTGACCAGTATAATTATATGGAAACGAGGTAGAAGCAAAAGTGCCAGTGATAAGAGAAGTAGATTAAAGTTCGTCTTAGAACACAGGCGAGGTGTGGAAATATGTGTAGGGCTGAGATAGCAAGCCATGACAGGGACGTGGTGAGAATGAAAGGGCGCAGGGAGTTGCAACGTTAGTCGACCTTCGACCGCGGTAGGTTCGGAGCCTGAAAGAGCTTCTCCTGTGCGCACAAGATGGTTTTCGTAACCTGATGGCGGCCGCTTCTGCCGTTGATAACAGGCGCTAGTGCAGTAGCATAGGGTAGCTTGATGAGACCTTATAAATCACACGAAAAGCTTCCCTGAGGCCCAAACGATGTCCAGAATCAACAACATGAGCGGGAATGACGCTGCTTATGTTACTAGTATGGCTTTTTCCCAGCCATGCCTCAATGTGCATTTATTCCTTCTCAGGTTAGCAAAAGTAAGAGATCCGGGTCGATAATCTGAGGAAAAAGAAGTGCTCACCGGATCGAGGGACTTGTTTGGCTGACGTTTCGAAGAGCCTCGGCGGCTCTCCATTATCAAAGCGTCTAGTGCAAAAATCGATCAAAATTTTTGAATAGACAGCCGAATTGGTGGGCTTTGGGCTGATCGATTTTTTCTTCTTTCGCTGCCTTGGCCTACTGGTCGTCACTTGTGAGTGTTGGTGGCCTCCTGTTTTGTGTGTCATCACCTCAACTGGGGTTAGTTGCGTTCGCTTTCCCTTTTTGGGTGAATTGTCGACAGGCCGTGTTTGCCCGGTACTCTTGGGTTCCGTATGACTGTCTTGTCTTACTCACGACGTATGTACTGATGTAGGAATTTAGAGGCCTAAGGAAGGTCTAGATGCCTGTTGATGGAGTTGACATCTGAGTAACAAGCCTCAAGTGTGAGAAGTGCTGTTCCTGAGCTGTCCCTGCCTAAGACAGCTGTTTCTTAAAACTCGAAACTGTGACCAGTTTCCCCGATATGAGCCGAAAGCTGCGATTTTGGGTTTAGTCTCCGAGTTGCCAGTTTGTGCTCATTTCCGTCAAAGACTAGACCCAAACTCACAGCTTGCGGCTCACATCGGGGAAACTGGTCACAGTATCGATTTTTAAGGAGCAGCCGTCTTAGGCAGGGGCATCTCAGGAACAGAACTTCTCACACTTGAGGCTTGTTACTCAGATGTCAACTCCATCAACAGGCATCTAGACCTTCCTTAGGCCTCTAAAGTCCTACATCAGTACATACGTCGTGAGTAAGACAAGACAATCATACGGAGCCTAAGAATACCGAGCAAACGTGGCCTGTCGACCAATTCACCCAAAAGGGGGACGCAAACTGGTCACAGTTTTGATTTCCACCTCCCGGCATGACGGGGAAAAGGCCATACTAGGAAAGTAAACGGCACCGTTCTCGCGCACATGGTTGATTCCGGACATCATGTGGAC